AACCCCTGAGGTAAAGAGAAACAAGGGCGCAGCCAGAGAAACTTTAGGCTTGCAAGTCATGCCAAGGAAAACAGAATGAGCTAGCTGCATCTGTTCTGCTTACTAAACAGGACTGTGGTCGTGGGGGTGATGTAGAGGCAAATGTGGGGCAGCTCTCTGGGAGATCTGATAAACCTGTCACATCGGGTTGAAACATACATCATCCAAGCCTGGTTGACATCATGCCCAGATCAACCTTTGCCAACCAGAACCTTGGGGTTATGATGCCAGCCCTAACACTACCACCTTTGCTAAGTAAACCTCTCTATTAGCCACTTAATTTCATCTTCTTTGGGCTGCATCCAACAAACCCAACAACTCTTTCTCATGATGACCTGCCAGGTACCACATACAAAAAATGTAAAAGTTAAATTTCAAACCCACCAAAAACAATTCAACAATGACAGCTGAACACATGCAGATTTCTAAAAGTCTCAGGTAATCTATGCATTTCGAGGGGTTGAATTTATGAAAAAAGGGCATGGTCTATGGCATGATAGTAATCATAAGGCTTTAAAGAAGTAATTGTTGCATTAGACAAGGATGGGGTTCATTGTTCTTTATTGTGGACACGGCACTGACAATATTTTAAACTCCCATCTGGGTCAATGGGATCACCATTGTCTCCCATAACTCCCCGTCCCACTCCATCAGAGAAATCGAGGCAGGATCTATCAGGGACAACACAAAAGAAATGTCACCAGTCCTGGAATGAAGTTCCAGCCAATGAAGGTCTCTCTCCTCACTTTTCTCTGTCTCTATGCATCTCCACAGGGGTGCAACTGGTAACTGACATCACTGAGAGAGGGTCAACCCTGGCTAGGCACAACTCCAGCTCTCTGGCCCCTCCTGGCCTTAAGTGACCCTTGGTTTCGATGACAGGCTGGACCTTTTGTGTCGCGGGGCCCTATCCAGGTGAGGACAAGGAAGGACGACAATGGCAGGAAACATAAAGGCAAATGGAGGCTGGGAGACAGCCCTGCAGGTCACAGGCCAAGCTGGACAGCTGAGTGATGAATGCAGCTGTGGACACGTGGACCTCCTTCTCTGTCCTCTAGCTCTGCCTGCCATGTCAGCTGATTTAGCTTTGTTGGGATTAAGACCTCACCAACTCTTAACAAGTTCTAGAAAGTAATAAACACAGGCAAAAGATGTACTGTGCCACAGATTTTGAGAGTAGAGCTATTGCATTGGTCAACTCCTTGTCTTTCCAATTTACAATGGAATTAGACAGTAAAAGGGACATTGTAAGTATAACATATTAGATGCATTTCAATCCATGGCTGCTGCTGTTGCAAAATTTGCTGGCTCACACTTGTCACATGGAGTAAACCCAAGCTCCTTACAAAAAATTGAAAAACATTGAAGCTACTAGGAACATATCTGTCTTTGCCATTAACAGGAAGCAGAACTATGAAACCCAACACAATTAAACAATGGACATTTGCCTGCTATCTACAGTCAATCACACGTTTTGAGCTGTCCAACAGATTCCAATGCCAAAGGTCAATGGCTGCCTACTCTACTACCAGCCCACATTGAGAGACATGAGAACAAGGTTTGCCGAGTCATTCACAAATCCTGCTTTAGGTCATAAACACCTCCGCCTGTCTTCCCACTTCTTTTCTCCTCCACAGAGGTGAGTTCAGTATGCACTCTGTTAATCTTTCACTGGAGCCTGCCTGCTTTTACGCCGAACAGAAGAGGAGAATGAAAGAGGGGTAGTAAAGGACGAAAATGGATAAAAGAGCAGGAAGAAAAAGCCATAGAGAGGGCCAGATGGGCACCTTCACAGTCCATTTATCAAACCCAATGTGGCCCTCCCCTCCCCTCCCGCTGCTCTCATGTCCTAAACCCCCATGTAATTCTGTAATGATTTTCATTATCATATAATGACCTTACAAAGCCTACAGCAGTTTGCATGGTCAGTACAAAACTCGCAGCTGTTCCCCTCAGTGTTTGCTCGCCGGCTGTGACAAAGCTTTTTGTGTGTTTTTTTTTTTCTGTTGGTCACAGAAGTGACCTCTAGTCTTTGGAAGGTCAGCATGAGGTCACCTCATCCAGGAGGTTCAAATGTTAGCATACTTTAACCATACAGATTCAAAATACATCACACAAAGTGTCTCCTATGAGTTATTTAAAATATAGCACATTTCAAAACAAAACTATGGAATTTGGTATGGTGTGGTTCCACCTTCACAGTTTGACAAACTATGAAACCTTCTTTTAGCCTGTATAGCCTTTGAACTAGAACAAAATCTATGCATTTGCGAAACCTAAAAATGCTTTGGAATCTGTATGGTTCTGAGATGAGCCAATTCCTAGCCTAATAAGCCTGTTCCTTGGAGGTTGTCCCTTGCTCTTCAATCGGCACTTCCTGTGTGGCACACACAACTGCTCTGCTTCAGTAAAGTAACCCAACCACATAATAATCCATCTATTTTGAGGGCAAACTCATGGAGCATTTACCAAAGGGACATGGAGGGTAGCATCTATCAAAGAATTCTCCGTGTGCATCTGGAAAACTCAGTTACCAGAAAAGCTCATAAGAATAAAAAAGCTCTCATAATTTCATTGGCACACGGTGAATGAATGGACTGCATCTGCAAGCAGGGCGAGCCTAGGCATCACTCACTCTGAGTGCCTATAACTCTCTTGTGAAGAACCTATGGTCACCAGGTCCAATTTCTCTTTCTTCCCTTCTTGCTGGTCCTAAAAGAAAAAAGCGCCGGAGGCATAAAATGGCAGCTTGCAGGCCCAACGTTCCATCGCACAGAGTGCTGTTTTAACTGGTGTTTAAGAAACAAAAGTCAACGAGAAACTTAATCAATCAGTGCTGGTTGTTTATGTGTATGTGCCTCTAGCAAGAGTCATCAATCAGTCTTTTTTCCCCTTTTTTCATCCTTTTGCAAGCATTATGTGCTGAATGGAAACCATGGAAACAAAAGGCAGTATTATGATAAAAGCCTGCCTGTTGCATATTGTGTGAAAACCTAATTAGTGCGCCCAATTTAGGGAACAGCAGCGAAATGAATCAGCAAATTAATTTCAAAAAGTCCTATTTTAGTGAGTGCTTTTTTATAATGAATGAAAGTTGGTAAACATCAGACTGAAATGAACTTAATTCTCTCACTTTTTGTTTTACTCTGTAATAGAGCCTACTTCTCTTCAATTCAAACAATTTCTTTGTCTGTTTGCTAGTTAGGCTTAAAGAAAGACAAACTCTTTCTTCCTCCACAAAGAAGTACAAAGCCATCCTTAACCCTCATCAGACACTGATCTGTAATCAGTAACCAGAACGTCGCACTTAACATTGCACATAGCGATGTGTTTAGTTTTGTGTAAATGAGATCTGTTGACAGCCACTTGACAGGATGACCCCTGGCTTTTTTGTAAGTGGGGGGCTTGGGGGGGGTTAGGGAAAGACATTTAATGTGTGTAAAGGGGAGAGGAGGTATCAGGAGCAGCTGGAGTTCAAACATATTGTGTGGGTCTGTCACCCTCCTCCAAAAACTAATCTAATCAGTCTTTCACTGCTGATAGAGTAAACGTCTGTCTGCCCTGCCGACAAGTACTGAGCATTTCCTGTCCCGACTGTGATACTGCTTGTCAGGATGTTAGGGAGCGGCTGAGCTAAGTCTAGAAGGTGGTAACATTTCATTGTGGGTGGCGGGGGGAACGGGGTTGGTGGGGGCATGGTGCTGATGTTAAGTTGGGGGTGGGTTTGGTGGGATGGTTCCTAGTTTTCAGCACCTGTAGCTGGAATGCACTATCAGAGCGGACCCTACATCATAGTTGTGAGGTGGTGGGCGTTGACACAGCAAAGCAAGGTGTGTGGAAACAGGCTGTTTACAAGGCTCATCTGAATGGAGCACAGCTAAGGGTCAACTAGGGGGGACAACTCAAATGGGGTGCAATGCAAATATAAAGGCAACAAAACTAAACTATTTTAAAGGAAAAGATGTTCAGGAATTTCTAGTTTGTGGAGTCTGCTTGTGGCACCTTTGCTTTGAAGGCTCTGGATCATGTCTGGTCAAATGTTTGTCGGTGTATTTGTTTGTGTGTGACACTGAGGTCAAACGTGTTGATTGAGACAATAAGCAGAGAAACATATGTGAATGCGGAGCTAGTACATACATGCATGCCAGCGTTTGTGTGTGTCCTCACTGAGGGGGGAGAGTGACTAAGAGAATGAACAGCTAAAAAAACAATGTGCAGTGTGTGTGTGTGTGTGTGTGTGTGTGTGTGTGTGTGTGTGTGTGAGGCCCTTCTTTATCTGAATGAATGGCCAGTGTTCTAATCCGTGCGCTCTCTGCCCTTATCTAAAAGGAAGGAAGTGACTGGCCTTATCCAAGACACACGTGTCGTTGTGATAGTTCTGATAGCTGCCAGGCCCTAGGACCACAAACAAACAGCGACTACACCAGCATATCTGTGGAATTCACATCAGCTCTTCCAAAGGATTCAATGATCACTGAACAAAAGTAGGACTAAGGTGATGCTTCACAGCTATTCTGCTAGATGATGTAATCACACTTATTAACCAGTAGATTCACTGCTATTTTGCTGAGGCTTGTACGGCCAAGATTGGTCGTAACGATTCCTCATGTTTTATTTGAGCAATTAAGTGGTTTGTGTGCGTCAAAGCAAGAAAGTTCACCAATAATTGGCCTCTTTGTTCATTGGTGATGATGTTGTACAACTACAGTTTTAAGCAGTCTAAACCAAATTATGTGACACATCAGTAAAGAAAAGAAAACTTGTCCATTTGACAATCTAAATTACTGGATAAAATGGTATTTCCAAATGTATGTTGGACTGTATCTTTGTCTTTGTATCACTGTGTTATGGACGTTACTATTTTGAATGCTTCACAGAGCGACTTACCTGTCTCATGCATCTGTCAGATATATTTTTTTCAAACCAATGGAAGTAACAAAGTCAGGTGTACATTGTGTTACCTGTCTCTCCATGTCTGTCTTTGCTGCTGTCTGTCTGTCAAGGCAGCCAGCAGGGTTTCTGCCAGCTCTCTCCTTCCCTCCCCTGATTGCCCCTCTTGCTCCACTTCAGCCAGGAAGAGCATTGTCTGCAAAAGAGAAGCAGAATGAAAAAAAAAAAAAAAACAGGTTTACCAATGTCAACTAAATGAAAAGTTGTAAGGAAAAACACATCCAAAATAAGTTTGACTAAACCCTGTCTTCATTTCCTGTGACTTCTTAAGACAGTTGCTTAAGTCGTATTGTTCAGCTTTTAACCAACTTTATCTTCAAGTTGTACATATTAAAACTACATGGGCCTATTAAACCTACCCTTTGCATATCACACTGTATGAAATCAAGTGTAAAGTCTACCTGAAGTGATTCCCTCTGTCACTGAGCTTCTATCCTCAGTTTAAAAATGACTCAGCTCTGAGCCAAGACTCCATTATAACATCCCTGGGATGGCAACATACAGTAAGTCTAGTATAAAGTCAGTCTCACATCAGAGGATGGGCAAATTACATCCAATATTAGAGTGTGAGTCAATTAATCACGTCCTGCACAGCACAGTGTAATGTGTGAGTATCCCCCTGTTGAACACGAATTACAGGCCGACTTAAAGTGTGACGTGGCACATCAGTGCTAATCTGAGACATCCTTGCAAACCTTCGCCTCCAAGTCCTCTGCAGCCTCTAAGCTGGCTGAGAGGGAGTCAAATGAAAAAGGATCTGGCAGCCCAAATTAAATGCAGTGCTGTCAGCCACAGTCAAATCCTTCCTTCTCCCTCTTCTTCTCTACCCTTCACAGACTCTCTCCCTCTCTGAATATCCTTAAATGTCTCCCCCTCCTCCTCCTCCAAGCCTCTGAGAAGTGATGGATCTATAACTCTGAGTGACTCTGACGCCTTGTTAAGAACAGTCTCTTCCTGTCACATCCACCAGTAAGGCGCGTTCATTTCTTCCCATTAACAGTCACTTGCCTCCCCAGTCATCCAGCTCTCTTTAAAAAAAGAAAATACCCCACAAAGTAAAGGGAACCTTCATTCCTTCCACTCTTCCTCTTTTTTTTAATCCCTTTCTGACAATCCACCTGTCTGTCTCACTTCATGTTAAGATAGGTTTGATTGTCTGTGTGTGCACTTCCGAAGTAGAGGATTGTGATTTGTCGACAGAGTAATATGCTTACTTCCTCTATACCACACAGGACAGGTGTCAAAACATGTGGGGATGTGTGACTGATTACACCTGACTCTGAGGAGACACCAAAGATTACAGTGTCCAGGAGGGAAGCAGGGCAGGCTGTGCTCACTATGGAAAATGTACCCTTTGGTTTGGATCAAACACTGTCCTTTAGGGATGAGTGTCAGTATAAGAAAGTGTATAAAGACTGTATCACCACCTGAGCTAGTTGATATCATTTTGCTATAGGGGCTGCGTAGCATAGCTTTCTTGTTTCAGGCACATTATTGAAGAGCAAGTGATTTGAAGTTTATTTCAAACCTGCTTTGAAGTGTTAACCGGGCGCTCTTCAGCTCTTCCTACAGATGGCCCGGGCTCCAAATCAGTACAAAAATTAAACGCTACACAAAGTCCAGTGTGCTTACTTTAATTGAAGTTAGCAAGTCAATGAATATACCCCAATGTGTTCACATAATAACCCCTGACAATCAAAGTGTGACTAAAAATCACCTGATAATTGCTGATATTTGTTTTTCTTTGACTGACATTACACTCACTGTTAGCACCACACTGTTGTTTTTTTGGTATTTATGTAACAAAATTAACCAGAAGCCAATAATGTTTGAGGCTAAATGGTAAGGGTCTCAGATAAGTGAACTGACATACTCGCAGATACCCAATTCAACATTTGAGCAGGCAGCTGACAACTCTACCAAAGTTTGTTTTAGTCCAAGAACAAAGATGATGACAGAGGTCCCCAACAAAAACCCTAACGCCTTCCAGCAGAGTGAAGTCTGCCACCTTTCCATTAAACACGTTAATTACTTTGGTGACAACTTCTGCTTGAGGAGATTGTGTACATTTTAGGGTGTGTATGTGATGTCCTCTCCTTTGTTTACTCTTGGAATTTATTTGTGAGTATAGGTGTGCCTCTAATATTGTGAATGTGTGCGACCAAACTTCCTCCCCATCAAAGTGTGCATGTGTGTGTTCTTCAAATCTTGTGTTTAGAAGACGTGGTGCTGAAAGAGGTCTTCAGGTTTAGCCACAGGCTGATCCCCAGGCCATTTGGACACCCCACAGGTTGTTTACTGGTCCAGCAAGACCAAACCCTTTATCTCTGGGCCTGTGTTAGCACTAATCAGGCTGCTCTTTCCTTCTATTTACCCCTTGATGACAGTAGCTATCCTCAGCCTCCACCTCTCCCAGCCTGACGCTGACCACAGATGTCCCCCTGACCCAGGCCACATCCCGAGGTGAACTAGAGGACAAAGAGGACCTGGTTGCCTCCACCCCTGGTCTCCAAAACTCAAACTTGACCATATCTATGTGACTACAGATAGAGGTTAAACATTTCCGGCCTTGTGCAAAGGCCGGGTAGGTAAACAAACACAGAGCCAGGCTGAGGTGATATTTTGGTTGGTGGAGAACTGGAGTGATGATAGCATTCCAAGCGAAGGCTGGCTGGAGGGCAGCCTGGGGCGGCTCACTAACACCTCCAGCCAGGACTGTATCTTAACACCAACAAGCATGTGTCTATTCCATCACATGAAGACATGTCACTCATTCAGGAACAGAATAAAGGAATAGGACAATTGTTTTTTTGTCGCTGCACACCATACAATATAATGTATATTCCTTTAAACTTTAGTTTTCCTGGGTCATATTATAGTTAAGAAATACTCAAAGTGAGGAAGGTTAAAAAAAGATGCATGCAGAACCAAAGGTTTACACTCCATAAAACAGAGCTACTAGCTGACCACCAGAGTGTCTAAGACACTGTTAACACCCCATGAAATGCCTTAGCTGACGTTAGACTAGGACTTTCAGGAGACCCAGAGCACTCTTAAGCTCACTGGCACTCTCTTATATAGGAAACCTTTTTATGTCTGCAGGCCACAAAAAATAAAAAATGTACCTCCTTTACTATTTTAATAGAAGGGGGGGTTTTATAGACCTGAATAGACCTTCCAAATGACGGGTGGCTGCCTGAAGGTAGGTGGTAAACATACTCACACGTAACAACAAACATTCTCAAGGTTTTGGCTGGTATTCATTTGCTACCATGGTGCCACTCCCAAGTGCCCCTCTGTCTGTCAGACAGGGAGCTCTCCCTGCTACTTCTATGACCTGTTTCTCTGTGTGCCCATATGGAGGCAGACATGATCCCAAATACTAATCCATCTTCTGGTTTACTTTTATATATAATAGCATGCAGTCTTAACTTAAAACCTTCATGAAATATATTCTATAACTAAAATTACAAGTGCATGAAGGTGCCAATTTCATTAAGACTGACAACAATTTATAAGCTGTGTTTATGAAAAAAAAAAAAAAGGCCTTTTATCTGAGAAGACCGATAAGTAAGGGACGATGTTTAGTTTGGATTTCTTTGTCATATCAGACAGTTTCTGCATCTTTTTACCACGGTTTCCAGTTCACGAGTTCTTTCTGCGATTGATATGATTATAGTTAGACCTCCAGAGTCTGTGATTAGAGCAGCATTCCTAGCAACCGTGTGCTCTTCATAGTAACGGTTAGTTCTTCCTAACAACAGTGTGCTAGGATATAGCATACAGTTGCTATGCGTAACTGACCAATCAAAGTAAAGTATTTAACAGAGCCCTGTAATAACCATTGAATGATTACATAACCCACTTTAAGGACCTGCATTGTGCCTGGAATTACCCAAAACCACAAACATACTTTACTCTGCAGCTGTAAGTCATTTTGTTTAGGTCTAATTCTCAATAGTTTTTAAAACTTTCTCATGGAAAATGTATTTCCTGTCTAAAAACCGATACAGCATGACATGATTTTTGTTGTATTGTACAAATAAACACATATAAACTTCTTAATATTAGATTAGCTTTAACCATGTCACGAGACAGATGGTGCAATACAGCTATTGCAAAGCTTAATGGCAAACACCTAAGAATAAGACCCGGGGAATGATTTTGAGCAATTTAATCCCAAACAGAACAGCACACTGACAGACCTGAACTATAACACAACATTCACACATTGAACATTCCTGTTACCTGTTTACTGTCATTCTTACCTATAATTTAAACCCCTCTGGCTCAGATTTGCAAAATATCATGCTGTAAGATTACGTGTTCTTTAAATATTTTCTCCAAATCCTAAAACACTTGACTGACTTCTGCCACAGTTAAAGCCCATCTGCTCCCACATCTGATTTCATAGACCTTAGGAGTATAACTTTGGAATGCTCTATATAGCTTCCTTCATCTCCCTCCCTCCGCTAATACAAGAAACCAATATCACTTTGACCGCTGGTGGAAAAAGGCATCAGGCACCTTGCTCGGGGTAATGGATAGCTTCTGCTCACTGATATAAACAACAGGGGAGCTGTGATCCTGCCAGGGTCAGTTCCAGTCTGGACAAGGGATCTGTGTGTGTTTGCAGCATGCCACCGCTAAGTTACTTTGCTCTTGTGGGGAACTCTCCACCGGTGGAAAAATTATATTAGCCCAGGAAGAAATAAGCCAAGACCACATTCACTTCTCTATGACATCACACTTGAAGTCATAAAAAGTGTGTGCTTTTGAGCGTGTGTGTGTGTGTGTGTCGTTTCTTGCCGTCTGTCTTCTGTCACATGATTACAGGTGGTTCAAAATTGAGGCATATCTAAAATTAAATTTTCTCAGTTTCCATTCCGTAAGATTGGTTGACTTGTGTGAGTATGGTATGTGTGTGCGTGTGTGCGCGTGTGTGTGTGCACACGTGTTTGTGTGTGTGTGTGTGTGTGTGTGTGTGTGTGTGTGTGTGAGTGTTTTTGTGTGGGAAGACTGTAGGGTCTTAATAAAGCTGGTCAGGGGTGTCTTCGAGTTTCATCAAAAGGGACACAGTATATATATAAAAAAGAATGTTATAAAATAATTTTCTTTCAACAAATGTGTTTTCTT